CGCATCGCAAAAGCGGTACAAGGACGATTTTGACAAAAAGGTCCGCTTCCGTCCGGTCATTGTGGCGGGCGATTTTGTCTACGTCGATCGCCCGCAACGCCCGTTGACAAGCGTCGAGCGCCGCACGCGAGCGCAAGGTACGACCGGAACGGACGAGATCTCTGTCAAACTACTACCGAAGACAGAGGGTCCGTTTCGCGTGCGCTCCGCTACGGACACCACGGTCCTCAACGGCATGGAAAATCGCGTGAGCATCGACCGCGTTACGAAGATGCCGCGCGGGACGGGGGATACTGTCACCCCGGCCACATCGACCGAATCGGACGCACAAGCCGCAACGCCAAGCCCGGAGTACCTCGTTGACCGCATTGTCGGACACCGTACTACGCGCGGCCGGATCGACTACAAGGTCCGGTGGTATGGATATACCGCTTCGGACGACACCTACGAGCCCACTGATGGGCTTCCGAAGCCGTTTATCGACCGGTATTGGCGCTCCCGCCAACAAGGATCAAGCGTGCATGCGTAGGGCAAGTTTCGGCGCTCTCGGTCGCACCGCTCGGACGCTCGCTCGCTCGCTCGCGCAAAAGCCTCTGCGGAAAACAAGCTGCGCACTTGCTATGCAGCCTCTGCGGCTATCCGCGTGCGACTGCGCACCGCGAGGCAGTCCGTGCCGGATGGATCCCGCGCAAATGGACGCAGATTCTTCCAAAATTGGCCAACCCTCCGGGAGGGTGGTCCACAATGGGAATTTTCCCCAAGCGCCCACGCAGATAGCTAGCAGCCACGCCTGACCGCACCTTTCGGATGATCGCGCTCGCACGCGCCTATGAAAATGGAGAGCTACCCCGGGAACCAGTTCTTTGGATTGAGAGGTATCGCGTTCGCCGGCTTTTTAATTTAGTCGCGATTTGGGCTACGTTTTTCCCTCCCACGCTGCGGAAAAAAATCGTAGTCTATTTCCGACAACGGCATCGCACTCCTGGGAGCATTCCGCGTCCGGGAGTGCCAACTTGGATGGAAACCAAATCGGTTTCCTCCCGTTTCTTTCCGTTTCCTCTCGTTTCTTTCAGTTTCTATTTCGGGCGCTCCGTACGGTTAGTGGATCGGTGTTGGCGCAATAGAGGTCGCTACCGCAAGGGACACGCGCGAAACTACCGTTTGGTGACATGCTTGGGTGGGGGCTCCGCTCGCGCTGCTCTTAGGATGGAAAAAGAACGGGGATTCTTATCAAATTGCCCAGCCCTCCGGGAGGGTGGTCGACAAGGGGATTTATCCCAACCGTCCGCACGGCGATGGCGTCGCTCGCGGCGCCTCCGAATCGCTTCTTGGAGGCGCCCTGCCTGCAGCGGGCAGCGGCGGGGACTTTTTCGCGCGTACTGTACGCCGCGACACGCGAACCGCATCGGACGAAATGCCGCGCGCGAGCGACGGCACGGCCCACTCGGTGGCCGATTGTCGGCGTCGCGACCGAAGTGCCGGAGCCGCTCGGGTCGACGCCGGAGCCCTCTCAGGGCTCGACGGCTGGCCGTACGGACGCGCTGCGCTGGTATTGTGATGGCCGACCGTTTTCGGCGGAAGGAAAACCTACTGTATGGGGATGCTGTCGCCGCGGGAGAAGGAGCTAGGATTTACAGGAGAAGGTTAGGAGCGAGTTGAGGGGTTAGGCGTGCTTCGCGTGAGGCGAAGTTCGACGACGCGCGTACCGATTCGGATGAGACAGTTGGCGTATCGACTGCCAGCTCGGAGACGTGGCGAGAGAAAAGCCTGTTCGCGCGCAGGGGCTTCGGTCCTGGCATCGCGCGTGGAATTCAGGGAAAAACCGGAACGGAATCACGTGGTCGGATGGGTGGTCGCTACGGGGACGTAGCGAAAGTTAAGGAAGGGGGTCTGTAGTATAACGAAGGACGCGCACGCGGGGAGATTATTAACAGTGCGGCCGTGCACGGTGGACACGTGGGCGGGTGTGCTCACGTGTAGGGAGCGCGCGCGTGCCGAGCGGTCGTAATCTGGCGTCCGTGTACAGTAGTGCACGTGTCGGCCAAGCGGTAGTCTGCCAGTATTACGCGTGTACGCTAGCACACGTGGCATCCGTGCGGTAGTCTGTAAGCAGCGCGTGTGTACAGTAGTACACACGCGTAGCTGCAGCGTCCGCGCGGTAATTAGGAATTGAGGCGCTAGCTTTTTAATTGTGTACAGTACCCGGCACGCACTAGGCGGCAGGTACTGCACTGCTGTATACTGGGACAGGTGTCCGAGGCGTCCCTCTGAGGGGTTAAGACCTGACACCCGTCCCCAACAGTAAACTGGGGCAAGCTCGCCCCCGTCTCTTTCGCGCCTATATACGTCCGTTTCGGTTGTCTATCGCGCGCGCTGGCTTCTAACCCGTTACCGGTCGCTCCCGTTCACGCACCACGGGGCGACTGCGCGTAATCGGCCAGTGAGCCACTCCCTTTTCGCGAGCTCGTCCGATCGGTTCAATTAGCGCGTCGCGTCCGCGCCGTGTGCTCCCTCAATATAGCCTCCGCCTCTCACCCAACCCAGGGCGGAGAGGAGTTATCCCACAATGCTATGCAGCGCGCTTGCTACTCTGAGCACAAGCGGTTCCACTGCCTCATATTTCAAACTATTACATCCCCGGACGGCCTAGTCTTCCACATGTTTGGTCCGGAGGTGGGTCGGCGTCACGACATGACTTTATTTAGACAAAGTGGTCTGAAAGAGGAGCTACAGTCACATCTTATGGTTGACTCCGTACAGTACTGCATTTACGGAGATGCAGCTTACATGCTGCGCCCTTGGCTCCAAGTAGCATTGACACCACAGGGCGCCTCTGCGGGGCAGTTGCTATACAATAAGGGAATGAGTGCAGTGAGAGAAGCAGTTGAGTGGTCATATAAAGATCTGAAACAAATATGGTCGTCACAAGACTTTCAACGCATGTTACGTGTACGCAAGGCGCCTATTGCACTTCTCTATAAGGCGGCTGCGTTGATATGGAACGTTCGAGCTTGCATGCACCAGAGCAGTGGTCAGGTCAGCAGCTATTTTTCGTGCAAACCACCGTCTTTAGAAAGATATTTGAACGTTAACAGCTAACCTTACTCAAGTTTCTTAACTAAAGCGCTCAAAACGGGCAAAAGTTGCGTTCTTTCTATTCCCGCACTTTTTCGCTCTTTGTTTTCTATATCTAATCTTTGGGCCTCGAGCTCAATGCGTTTCTCCTCAACCGCAATACGTCGCACATAATTGCTATGCTCTTTCTCCCAGCGCTCGCTTTCCCTCAGATCTGTAGCCTTGCTCTGCTCCAGCTTTTCCTCTTCCAAGCGCAGTCGTTTTTTGTCATATTCACGTTGTTCTGATATGTGCTCGGTGATCGCGGAGCGTCCCTCTTCATCTGAGTCGACTGCTGCGGTTGACGTTTGCGTTGTCGGTTCCGCAAGATTTCTTCTCCCTTCTTTTCGCTATCCACAGACCCAAGGCATGCACGGCTGAGCGCATTCGAGCGAATAGTTTCTCCTTCTTCGCGGAGCCGACGGTCTAATTCTGTTCGCTCATCCCTTTCAGTCCGCCGTCCCTCTTCCCATTCATCTACAGCAAGAACGATGTGGTCTAGTAGCAACTCGCGCTCACTGCGTACCTCAATAATGCCCGACACAGCACCGTTTCTTTTTACAGCAATGCGGTGATACGCCACAATTTTCTTAAAGCGATCGCTGAGCGTCTTCTAAGACGGTTGGCACATTCCCTGCAGCGCTGTTGCTGGAAGCGAAGCAGTAAAAAGGCCCGGCGCTTCATCAAAGCGCTTTTGCGAGTCGCCATGAGGTGCGAGATGAGGGTCCACAGCTGTCACTGCTTTTCAAAGTATTATCGAATGTCGACGAGAAGCGTATGCGCCGTTTCTTCATCCAAACAGCAGTTGTAGATCCAGAACCTGTAGCGGGGGAGGCAGTGGGGGAGGAGTTTTTCGACGGTGCTTCAGTCCCAGAACCAAGCACCGAGGCCATCTTATGTGCAACGCTCTGAGTCCATGACTTGGACGGATGCCTAAAGATGGGTCGGGTGGGCCGTGGCGTTGACTACTGCGACGATGAGCAAGTGCTGACAAGTGGGACGGCGAGCAAGGGATGCAGAGATGAACTAGGCCTCTAGGGCCGATAGCCCAGATGTGCCAGTTCGAGAGTTGTAAACGCGCTAACGAAGCAGTCAGAGCCGGAACAGGGGAGGTGCGGAGGCTGCGATGGGGGATGGGAGACACTTTAGGGTCATCAGATTGGAGAGGGGCAGGCAGTGTCGTAGACTGGTATGCCGCATAATAATTTGATGGAAAGGTTCTCGAAGGCGAGACGGCGTGAGTGAATTTTGAGTGTGCTGGTGAAGTGGAAAGGTTCCCGAGGGCGGGATACGACTGCGGATGTTGAACGTGCCGCTGAAATAGGAAGGTTCTCACGGACGGGATAGGGTGAGTGGAAGATGAACGTGCGTTGAGTTTGGTAGTCGCTAGTTTGAGAGTGATAGTGAGCGTGAGATCTCGACAGGAGGGCGCGTAGATGGTAAGGGGAGAGGACGGAGATACGGGTGGGGTTGGAGAGCTCGCCGTGAACGCGGTGGGAAGGGAAAGTGCAATGGAACGCGGGGAGAGGAGACGTAGAGTGTGTCGGTCGTTTCGCTATTTCGTCGATTTAGCGAAAAATGAATTGGCCTCTTCAGCGTTTTGTGAGACACGTATGGTGGGTGGCATACGTTTCACAACATTTGACCCCGTAACGAAATCTTTTTTTTTGCGTAAACCCTCTATTCACAATAACTCAGATGATATGCCTGCACCTTGCCCTGTCGAAGAGCGAAGATTCCCCCCCCCCCCCCCCCCCCCCTTTACAAGTCTTGCTGTGGTCAGAGACGGCAAAAGGCTACTTGCAGTCTACTGACTGGAATTCTTCTTTTCTACAGAACCAGTGCTTTTCAATCAGCAAAACCGCGTTCGTTGATTTTCGTGACTGATGACTTCTTCAAAGCAAGTGAAAACAGGAGTTTCATTATCGTTGTCTCTTTCAGATCTGCATACTGCCCGCTTATCGGAGATTCACCGCCTGTACAACGACTCTAAGTTGTTCTCGGCTTCTCGCATCCTATCAAGCTTAGAAGGAGAATTAGAAGCGAATGATGCCAAATGCACCACCGCAGAATTGAAGGCTTTGGAAGCGGCGCTTGCCACTCCTTTTTTTGCGCGACTACGTCGTGAGTGCGAAGAAGCCCAGCAATTGCGAATACTTCTGGAAGACCGCCAGGGCTGGACGCTGTCGTACAATGGCTCTGAAACTCGCGTTTGGTATCGCCGTGAACCTGGCATGCAATCGCACTCTATTCTAACTGAAGGAATAATTCGCGCCCCTCTCTTAAACGTTGCAGCTCTCATGTATGAGGCCGATCTTTACGAACGACTATTTTGGTACGTAATAAGTGCAGTTCAGCTTCCGTTACCAGAACCCGGCCGTCTTAAGCGCGCCGCTCATATTACTGCGTATGCTCCGTGGCCACTCTTTAATCGAGATATCGCCTTGAATGCATACGCAATAGACGGACTCGACGAGGAGGAACCCTGTTTCATGGTAGTTTCTCGCTCGCTTCAAGAACACGACGGAGTCGTAGAACCAGAAAGCGAGAGTAGAGTTGTTAGGGTTCACATGCATAACTCTGGCTTCGAGCTTTTGCCTGTTTCACCGGGCGTGGTTACAGCACGATTCCTGTATAACATAGACCCTCATCTCGCATTTCTTCCAACGGCATTGATAAACTGGGCTGCTAGGACTCTTTGCAGATGGTCTTTGAGGACGCTCGAATCACGAGCAAGGGATTTGAGCAAAATGCCGAAAGAGTACGAAGAGCGTCTTGCCACCGCTGAGGTATACGACTACCTCGGCAAGCGATTGAACGGGTACTGGCTGTCAAAGGGGATTTCAAAGGAAGACGCTCGGGCACAAGAACAGAGAGCGGCACGAATAAGTGTCCAGTCTGACAATTTCAATCCGGACGATGCTCCGTCTGGGCCGCCTACATCCGTAATGACGTCAATGGTACGCGGCGAGCCCAGCGGCCAACCCTCCCGTATCAAGAAGTCTTTGGCGCGATTATGGCAGAGCGGGAACGCACATTGATAATCTGTAAAAAAGTCACGTTTGTTGTTATTTTGTGTCAGGGTAAGCATAACGACATGTAAGACTCTAACTTCGGCTGTGTACTAGGGCCTTAGTCAAACATGATTTGACATACTCCTCCACAGAGTATCCGGCTTTGCTCATTTCTGCGACTCTCTTCCTTGCTACAAGTAGTCCACACTCATCTGAACAATACTTACTGCCAGCAATCTGGAACTTCTCACAGACATCAGGGTTTGTCCGGGCACACGGTTTCTGAGCCGAAGATGACTCTGATCCTTTCACTGATGAATCTCGTGATGGTGAGACATCAAGACTGCTCGATTTACTGTTCTTCCGAGCATGCTTCAATGATTTCTTGCCAGATCCCTTCCCTGATGGTGGCAACTCAGCAGCCTTCCGCTTCTTACTAGCAAGCCTCTTATTCATTGCGGCCAGCTCCGCATCTTCGCCCCCACGAATTAAGTTCTCAAACTTTTGTTCCAGCTCAGTTGCTGAAATGGCGAACTCATGGGAGTTTCCGTTGTATTCACGGCAATTGGTTGCCACTTGCCGCACATCTTTGGCAACATCTAGAGCAGTAGAGTATGCGCCTTTCGTAAATTTTGCTTTGATTGTGCCGTAGTCCATGGGGTGTGGGATTCTGTCGAGGTAGTCTGGGCATCCATCCGTCTTCGGGTTGACAGGGTCGCGGAACGGCCATGCGTTCTTTTGTTTGTAGATCTGATTAAGGGCCTTCTCTGCCCGCTTCAGCAAGCGAGTGTTCCCTTCCCTGTCTAGATTACCCGACGGCGTCCACTCCCCTAGGTATGATGGGGTGGATCCTGACCCAATACTCAAAGAACTTGAGGAATTTTTCTTGGAGAGCCCCAATTTCTTCCCCATACCCGGTTGCTTGTCCCGCAGTTCCTTGATGAAAGTCATAGCGGCGAGCGCCGGGTCATTAAGGTTTTTAATCTGAGCAAGTATGAAGTCCTTCTCAGAGAGAAGTTCTTTCTCTGAGTAGCCCTTCATTTTGAGATACGGAGCTTGCAATAAGGAGGTGATCATATTGTACGTAGTCTCCTTGGATGACATGGTTGTGCCGAGAATGAAAATTCGGGAGCAGAGCTCAAAGCGCCTGCGGGCGAGTTCATGGGTCCTTGCATACTCCTTCGCAGGCTTCGTGAGGCGATACCAAACGGCAGCACTTCTGACCCACAAGTGAGGAGTGTTGCCATACTCGATACACCATTCAATCAGGGGCGCAGTTTTGACGCGGAGAGACTTGCCGTTGGCGAGGACGGAACCGCGTGCGATGACATCACCATCAGTAGAGCGGCGATCGTCCAAGCAGCATATAGAAACCTTATCGTCGCCAGTGGTGACCATGAAATCCGTGAGTTCGCGTTGAGGGACATTCTCGTCATCGTAAGAGAGATTGTACAGGCTCGGGGTTTCTTTCTCACTAACGAACTCCGTCATTTCGCAAGTCAGAGCGGTGGACTAGGGAGCGGGGAGGAATACGGCTGGGGGTGAAAGATGTATACTCCCGTGCCAGTCGGGGATGTAGGGCACAAGGTGACCCAAGGAGAGGCGCGAGTACAAGGTGTGTAGACGGAAGGTGGCAGGCAAAGAATTAGCCCGGGTGGAGGAGGGAGGTGGAAGTGCCTTCGGATGTGGCCGGGGTGACCATGGCTGGGACTCGGATATGAATACACGAGAGGGTGCGAGGAGTGGAGTGTGGGCGGGGGAGGCTTTCCTTTGCATCTGGTCACGATTTGAGAATGAGGGGCGCCGGCGTGGGCTGGCAGGGCTGTTGCTGGCAGTTGGGGCTGCTACGCGCCAATTGTCAAATTACCGCACGGGCGCCAAGCGACGCCTCCCCAATCGCCCCCTCCGCCCCTGCACTGCTGAGCACGTCCTCTGTCCCCGCCCTCTCCAGAATTTTCCCAATTTTATCCCGCCCGCCTTCTTCCCCGGCTCCCCCCGCTGCCGTTCTTGTCACACTTTTCGACTGTTTCTGCCTCGGCCAGTCCCCCTCCACGTCCCCATCGCACTGTACCGCAACGGGCTACCCTCGACCGCCCCTGTGGCAACGCTCCCGTCGCGTCTCTCTGTCCTTCCTGACGCCTGTCTTGCATTCTCCTTCGCTCTATCGGTGTAATGGCTTGAAATCAAATCTTGAGTGCAACTCGCCCTGTCTTTTTCCCGTTCCAACGTTGCATCCCGATTAGACAATCTCCAAAAATATCTACAGCAAACCGCACACTATCCTGTCTCTCTTTGTTATATCCAACAAGGTCTCCTGCGTACCTCTGTAAATTTGGCACAGGCAATTGCACCCAGTTCGCCCTCCCCGACAGCTCCTAGAGGTTAGGCTACGAACGTTTTCAAATATTGCACAAAGTTTTGACTCTCATGCTTATACGTTGAGGCACAGACGTCTTTGATTGTACGTACGGGCAAATTAGCAACCATAGTCTATGGACGAACAACCTGCCTGAGGAAGCAGGACTGGAAGCTATGCGCTGAAACAGAGAAGGTCGAGAAAGGCTATCTAGGCAAGCGAGAGGCTCTCAGAGGTCAATTCTCAGAGGCGTTAACGTGTATGCGTACAGGCTAGAACAGTAATGAAAGGCACCAACGGCTCTTTACAAAAAGGTGGATGTTACTTAAGGCTTAATCTTCTTCTTGATGCGCAGCTGGTTGCTATCGATAGAATTTACCAGTTGCAGAGAAATTTTGGTGTCGCAAATATATACAATTAGAAGAAAGACCAGACAGGTTCACTCGATAAAGTCAGTAATGTGCGAAACCCAAGCATTTCTATTCCATGAAGAGGTGCATGGACGTCGCTTATGAAACGCAATGAACATCTGCGGAAGGGTTGCTATGTTCGGCAGGTACTCAAGTAACGAAAATGAGCTCTAGAACATACCTGTGTCCGCACTTCTTCTTCCTGCAGTTCACAGCCTTCGGCGGGAGTCGCGCATAGCACTTACGGCACACCATACGGTCGCAGTTGGTGGCACGAGCGAGGGCTGCCAAAGTCGGCTCGATCAGACCACCGCGAAGACGCAACACAAGGTGAAGAGTCGATTCCTTCTGGATGTTGTAGTCTGACAGAGTGCGATCATCCTCGAGCTGCTTGCCAGCGAAGATGAGACGCTGCTGGTCGGGAGGAATGCCCTCTTTGTCCTGGATCTTAGTCTTCACATTCGCGATGTTATCAGAGGCCTCGACCTCAAGAGTAATCGTCTTACCCGTGAGGGTCTTCACAAAGATCTGCATTTTTCGAACGAGAGTGGTTTCCGCTGAACAGAGTTTGCTCCCCGGACCTGCTGTGTGCGTCAGAAGAGAATGGTGCAGGTGGTGACGAAAGGACAGGGGCATGGGTGGTCGACGTCGTGCGCTTTGTCGTGGCTCAATTTAGGGTTTTCTTGTCCACGTGTACGTACCTAGTTACTGTGCTTACAGAGGTACGTGAACAAAAAGGCGCACGTGTACACGTGCATATAATATGGTTTTGATCTTTGTGTACAGTAGTACTCGGCGTTGGTGCAACGAAGCCCGATGACACACCTTATCCGCATGCACTTGCAGAAACGCACACACTCTTCCAGGAACAATATCGTGTCCTGCGAGGCGAACTATGTGAACAGAAACAATGTGGCGGAAGCTATTTGCGCGCAGGCTCGCGGGTTGCTTGAAACAGATCAACAATGAGCAAAGATATTTTCGAGCTCCCATGCGGGGCATGAGTGGGTTCCCACCGCAGAGGCATCTGGACTACTTGACACCTCAACTTGAGGTGCCCACTGATACGCGAGTGGCGTCTGTGGCGTTGATTGGCGCTCCAAATGCGGGAAAGAGCTCACTTAGCAACGCGTTGATCCGAAATCGGGTGTCTGCAGTATCGCGTAAAGTGAACACGACACGAAACCGGATTGCTGGAGCATGCACAATCGAGAAAAGGCAGCTTATTTTCTGGGATACGCCCGGTCTCATTGAGCAGCAGTTTGTGAAAGATCTTGGAGAAGCGCGTAGAGAGCTCACCACGTCTGGATGGGGAGCAGCGGGGGAGGCTGATGTAGCCGTTCTGATCGTCGACGCGTCCCGAGGATTGCAATATTGGAAAAAATGCGCAGCGATAGCGGGTCAGCTTGCCTCTGTTCGGAAGAGAACACGGGTCCATGAGGATGCCACGAGGGATGCAAGCGAGGAAGGAGGGGCATATCGCAAGGCAGCACTGCTCCTAGTCCTCAACAAATGCGATAAGACCAGACCGCGGACAAGGCTCTTAGAAGCGGCAGAGTTTTTTCAGGAGAACATTGAAGGATTTGAAGAATGTTTTGATGAGCAAGTGTACATGGTATCCGCATATAATGGTCGTGGAGTTGACGATCTTCGGGATGCTTTGCTAGATAGAACAACGCCAGGGCCCTTTGAGGTACCTGGAGGAATGACGCATTGTGACGACGACTTGTCGTTAATCCGACAACATATCTGGGAAAAGCTGCTACATACAATTCACCAGGAGATCCCGTACCAGTGCCGGTTTGAGAATGAAGAACTTGAACAGTTACCGAACGGTGATATATATATGTCTGAGGTCATTCGAGTGCCGCATGCGCGAACTGTCCCCATCGTGATCGGCCCGGGTGGCAAGCTGATAAGGTGGATATGTGACAAGACAATGGAAAGTGCGTCCCTGGCGTTAAGGCGCAACGTTCATCTCAAGCTACGAGTGGCAGTGGCATAACTAAGTTTGTTTCCCGTGACCACCTCGGTCAGCCAAAAAGGCTCCGGAAGAATCCCTTTCCAGATTTGGAGTTTTGTGCATTCACTTCGTCGATATACCGCTTGGCAACCCACACTTGAAGCTGGTCTATCTTACCCATTGTAGCGTCACCAAGTACACTTGTTTCACCGTTTGGAAGTTTACACGAGCTCGTACCGACATTGCTCTTCAGGATATGCTTGGTCGGGTTCATTGGAATTCCGAGAAGGGCGGCACCAAAGCGTATGGCATAATCGTAAAAGTCGTACTGAATCGGGTCCGTATTTTCCGCGAGAAGCACATCTCCACAGGCATCAATGCGGAATACGAACATTGACCGTTCAGTAGTGGCCTCGCGATAGTCGTCTCGGGCCAAGAAGCCGTTAGCGGCGTACCCTCCGAAGCAGACTCCTGCGAGTGTTTTTCCAAGCACGAGGGAAGGAACACCGCCTAATGGAATCATTCGCTCGAAAAAAAGTTCATGATCAAAACCATCGTCGGATGAATTGAAAGCCATTGCAAGTGGCTCACCGGCAAGCATTGTACCTGCCAAAATTTCTGGGAGCTTTGTCTCAGGCACCAGTGGAGAATCCTTCAGAGTTCGGGGAGAAACTTTATCGGCAGGCGATGGCGTAGAAGCCATCGGGACTTGGCGGAAATGAATGTTACAAGTGTAGGGGGGTGGGCATGAGATGACTTGACGGTTGTGCCTACCTCCACGGCACCTGAGCAAGATAGGCTGTGCTAACAGAAATGTTGTCATCATAGTACACGATACGGTTGATTGCCTGAAAGCGAAAGGTCACCGAGCTGTGTGCGTTTTGTATAAATAGGAGCATCCCGCTACTGTAGGCCTTCCTCAACAGTATTATTAATCAAGGAATGCAATAAACTCTGGACAATGCTCAACGGTAGGGGATGACTCTTAGAGTTGCTGCCTCAGTCGCGCGAAAGGGACATTTGGACTGACTGTCGAGGCCCCGAATGGGCCAATGGCATGCAGCTGCGATGACTGGTTTCCACGTAGAGTACTGTAAGACATGATCAAAAATTCACATATTTCTACATGATCACATGCAACTGCTGATGTTTTCAGGCCTTCAGGCAGAAGCTTAAAATCCTAAGGCGCCACGGGCGGACGGCGCGTCGCTGATTTGAAGGCCCATAAACCCTTTGCTCTGACTATGAAACGCGTTTGCTGACGCCACTCTCACAGGCGCGCATCTTTACGTCACTTCGCCTCCGGCGCCTTGTCGCGAAGTTACTCTTCGCACATCGCAGCGTGGGTGAGGCGTCGCGAAACGCATTGAGGCCTACGTGGGGAGCGACGCGAGACTGCATCTTGCGAGGAACCTAGGCCGCACGCCGGCCCCGTATGGTCCGCAACGACGAAACACCCCAAGACAGAATGGCCGAGAAATGCGACCTTTCTTTTCTTAACGAAGATGACGACGACCTTGCTGGACAACTCATAGCTGCGAAGCCACGGCCCCCGCAGCGCTCGTCACCAGACACTGCCGTCCGCGCCGTTACGGCTGCGTTAGGTGATCTGGACTTCGAGGAGGAAGCCGTTGACGACGAGGAAGATCTCACTCAGCAGGAGGAAGAGCTTCCGGAGCATGCGTGCGCGTATTGTGGAATTCATGACCCTGCTTGCGTGGTGCATGACAAGTTGGATAACCGATGGTACTGTAACGGACGCGGGAAGCTACCGGGCAGTCATATTATCACTCATCTTGTTCGGTCCAGGCACAAGGAGGTGAGTCTTCACAAAGACTCTCCGCTTGGCGATACGGTTCTTGAGTGCTACAATTGCTGCACAACTAATGTATTCTTGCTCGGGTTTGTCCCGGCACAAGGCGATTCCGTTGTCGTCTTACTTTGCAGAGAACCGTGCTTACATGCCAAAGGGCTGGAGGACATGAATTGGGATCTCGACGCATGGCAGCCGCTCATTGTTGATGGTCAATTCCTTCCATGGCTTGTCCGAGTGCCTTCAGAGAAGGAAATGGCTAGGTCGCGACAGATTGCCATATCTGAAGCAAACAAATTGGAGGAGTTGTGGAAGACGAACCCGGTTGCTACTCTCGAGGATATTTCGAAGCCCAGCACTGTGGAGGATCTTCCGCGCGCGCAACTGCGATACGAGGATGGCTACCACTTCCATCGCGTTTTCGGTTCCTTGGTTAAGGCAGAGTCGGAAAACGATAGGAGGATGAAGGAGGAACAAAGTCGCTCCAACATATCTGTGCGTTGGGATATGAGCCTTAACAAGCGTCGCGTTGCAAACTTCATTATCCCGCAAATGTCTGATGGCGATATTCGACTCATGACAGGCGATGAAATTCGCCTTGCTCACTCAGGTCTGAAATGGGAATGCCTTGGTATGGTGAAGGGGTTAACAATTAATGAGGAAGTGGCCCTGGAATTGCGAAGCGGGAAACCGTCGTCACGGGCACCCATTGACACAACTTCGGGCTTTAAAGTCGAGATCGTTTGGAAGTCGACCTCATTTGACAGGATGAATGCAGCCTTACGACAGTTTGCAGTTGACGATACTTCTGTTTCTGGATATCTGTTTCACAGGATTCTAGGGCACGAAGTGCATCCACAGGTAGTTAAGGTCTCGAATATCCCTGACCAGTTGAGTGCACCAAACCTTCCGGAATTGAACGAATCCCAGAAGATTGCGGTGCGATCCGTTCTTGAGGCTCCACTCTCTTTGATCCAAGGACCTCCGGGTACTGGCAAGACTGTTACTTCTGCGACTATCGTCTACCATCTCTCGAGGCAAGTGAAGGGCAAAATTCTTGTGTGCGCACCAAGTAACATTGCAGTAGACCAACTCAGCGAGAAGATTGCCTTGACTGGCCTGAAAGTGGTTCGCGTAGTCGCAAAGTCTCGTGAGGCGCTTTCATCTGCAGTAGAACACTTGTCCTTGCACTATCAGGTTCGACATGTCGACGACCGGGAGGAATCAGAGCTAAACAAACTGCTGAAGCTTCGCGATGAAGCTGGGGAGCTCAGCGACCGCGATGACCGACGACTGAGGTCTCTACGCCGGGCAACGGAGCGGGAGTTGTTGGATGCAGCTGATGTCATCTGCACGACATGTACCACGGCCGGTGACCCCCGTCTGTCTTCCTTACGTTTCCGCTCTGTCCTCATTGATGAGGCAACCCAGGCATGCGAGCCAGAGGCGTTAATCCCCATTGTGCATGGATGCAAGCAACTCGTATTCGTCGGTGACCACTGCCAGCTAGGCCCAGTGATTACTGAAAAGAGAGCTGCCGCAGCGGGCCTCGGGCAATCGATGTTTGAGCGCCTAATTGCCCTTGGAGCTCGGCCAATTCGACTTCAAGTTCAGTATCGCATGCACCCAGCATTGTCGCTGTTCCCTTCGGTTACGTTTTACGAAGGGACTCTGCAAAATGGTGTCTCGGCTGAGGACAGAAAGTCGTCCTTAGCATCCTTTCCGTGGGTCGACGCTGGACATCCGATGGTGTTTTGGTCTCAAACGGGACCGGAAGAAGTTTCCGCTTCTGGAACTAGCTACCTGAACCGCGTTGAGGCGTCGGCTGTTGAAAAGGCCGTCACGCAATTCTTGAAATCAGGCGTAGCCCCAGAGGAGATAGGAGTGATCACACCGTACGAAGGACAGCGCGCGTATGTGGTGTCACACTTCGCGAGAATGGGTCCTCTTCGGCAAGACCTATACCGAAATGTCGAGGTGGCCTCTGTGGATGCATTTCAGGGTCGCGAAAAGACTTATATTATCATGTCTTGCGTACGCTCAAACGAGCACCAGGGTATTGGGTTCCTGTCAGACCCTCGTCGTCTAAATGTCGCACTCACACGATCCCGACTCGGAAATGTCATTATTGGAAATCCGAAAGTTCTCTCCCGGCAGAATTTGTGGGCAAGCCTACTACAGCATTATCGCGACCAGGGTGTCTTAGTAGAGGGACCACTGTCAAACTTGAAGACCTGCGTCATCTCTATCCCGCGGCCTCGCCGGCGCCAGAACGGAGAGTTTGCAAGGCACACACCACTGCCTCCTGGACCGACGTCAATGACTGCAAACGGGATGGATCCAGTTTTTCATCCGCCTTCGTCTTTCGATCGGAACGGGCCGGCAGACCGGTTCGGAGATGTCAGCAGCAATGGCGGTCCTGGTTTGATTGGAGATGGACGATTGGGTGCATCTGCTGTAAATCCGCTGATGGGCACATCCAGCGTGCCCCTTCCGCAAATGCCGTTTAGCGTGATGGGTTCGTTGTTCGGACCGCCAAATAGCTTCTCCATCTCTCAGAGCAGCCCCTTTCCATCGGGACCAGTCCCTCAATCTGCACCTACTGTTGGCACCAGTGGAACAGACCGCCGAGGTGCTCCTTCCAGCGACTACTCGTATCAAGCGCCGGGGTGGAAGTAACGATTCTAAAACATTTGCGCATGCTCGCTGAAACGAATTAATCGCATTTGACTACTGAATTCGGAAACTCGCGCCCAGAGTTTCGCTGAGTCCTCCCATGATGAAACACGGAAATCTCTACTTTATCCACGAGACTATGTACAAGGGCCAAACTTCAAACAGATGTTTTGTCTTGGTCATGGAAATTAATTGTGAATGATGACACGGCTCACTCCGATGAAGACCAAGAATTCTTGAGGATTTCTTGCGAATGGTTTCCGCCGCTTGTAATGACAAAACGAGTACTAATGTGCAGAGAACATACACTGTCAAGAGATTTGTTGGCTTTGCTTCACCGTCAAGCGGATTATCTCACAAATACATTTTGGCACGAGATCACGAAAATGTGGATACGAAATGGGGGCACAGACTGCAGTTCCCGCTTATGCATCCGACAACTGTCATAGCTGTTTCCGCCGTAACGGGGCAGGTAAGCTCGGAAAATTGGCAGTCTTCACAATATGTGAACGACGTGTGTTTCTACACTTTGCTGTGTGGTGAGGACGGAGCTGTCTCAAGTAAGGACGAAGTGCAGGAGGCTGAAAGAGGTAGACGATTGCATGGGGGAGACTTGATGTGTGGGTTACGTGACTTTGGTCTCAGTTGCCTTCCTGTGGTGACGTAGATGAATGGTATGATGAATGTTGGCTTATGATGTTTTATCACGATGGCCTCCGATTTGTATTGTTTTTTGAGTCTGCGATTGGAATTGGTATCCTTGTCTTTGCAGGGTTCAAAAGGATGGCAAATAGTATTCTTACAAGCATATTGGCAGTGGTGCCACCCTATCGGAGTGGTCCGTACGATCAAGGTTGCGAAGCTCAGGTTGCTAGTGTACTTGAATGTGACGAAATGCCTTACGAGTTTAACAGCCTAATCTTCCGATCGACAGAAACAGATATGCCTCCAGCAAGTGTATTGCTTCTTGATAAAGCCATGCGCCTTGAGTATTTCTAATCGCACTAGTGTCTATTGGACCGTTGTCCTCATATGAGGACACTATTCGACCTATTTTATTCTTGACTTACGCTTCCTCGACAAGAAAGAAAGAAACACCCCCGCCACCGTACTTGACTTCTGACTTGGGGACAGAAAGAACTTTGTGAGAATTGCATAGTCTTCCTGGATGTTTTAGATATGTCTGGAAAAGAAGCTTTTTTTAAACCACCTTAAAGCGCATTGAAAATAACTTCGAAACCAATAACGCCAGTTTAAAAAGGAAACTATGTACAGTACTCCATCTGCATTACGTTCTTAATCTTTCGGTATATTCAAAGCTGTTGTCCCGATGTTCTGCGAGATGTTATTGCCGGAAACAAGTGCATTAAGGAAATAGTGTCCAAGATAGCTTTTTAAATAATAAATTTAATTTATATACAGTAATCCCCGGTCTAAGAATACGATCGGATTCAGAGGGCTGTATCCAAATAAGTGGTTTATTACTCTGTTTGTGTGGTAGGAATGTTAGTCTCGAGCGGAAGCTGAGGCTCGGTTTCCCTGAACGTGCGCAGCGTAGGGAGCGGAACGGAGGTGATCGAGCGAGGCAAAGCGAAAGGCCAAAAAAGCCACCAGGGGTCTTGTCTCGTGAGTGCGTGAGTAACCCCCGGATTTCTAGTCCCTTTAATTTCCCCTTGATTTAAGTACCCGGAACAATTCCCCTTTGTATTTTTTTGGAACCGGCGGCGCACCGCCGCGGACACTGCCAGTCGCTTAGGGCCAGCGCTGTCCTCACTGTACAGTTCCCACGACAAACCCCCCGTCGGGCCACGTTCGACGGCGGCCAGCGGCGGCCGACTCGACGCGCACGCCGACGGCTAATTATATCCGTTGGGAACGTGGTCCGACTCTCTGACAGACCCAGTCAGCGGGCTCCCCTCATGCACCGCGTGCTCCGAGACGGAGTTATCTACTTCTTCCCTTTCCCTTGGGGCGCCTGCCTTACACCGCATCCTCTACCCACCTGCGGTCGGTCTCTCATTTCGCGCTGCCGCACACCCGCTTCTTCAATCGCGTGGCATTTCTCGCTCCTCTCTTTGAGCTCTTCGTGCACCTCGCAATCGGTGTGAGCTTTCGTGTTCACCATCTGTCTCGCCGCGCCGCCGCATCACTGCGCCAAGCATCACTTTCTTACTCTCCCCTACTGGGGCCTCATCCATTGTAGCTGCCGCGCGCTCCGCCCTTCGTCTTGGCGTCGAGCGCTTCGTCTCGTCATCCTCCGCTTCGCCTCGTCATCTTCCGCTTCGCGCCTGCCCTGACCGAAACCGATAAAAGCGCCTGCGGGCCACGGTACGGAGGGGTAAGCGTGAGGCTTCACGATGCCTGACATGCAGTGGGTCTGGATGGAAGCTAAGCGCGCACCGCTTTCTGGAATGGAGATGCTAGATGGTGAATGCCGCGTTCAACTACACGGTGGCTCCCGAGTGATGTCAGTGACAAAAAAGGCACTGATGAGGAGTGTTTGATTGGCTCGAGAAGTTTGTGGCGAGCTCCGGGATTGGCTGTCGTTGCTCTGTGGTCTCTTTTTCACCGAAAGAATGCTCGAAGAACTCGGGCTCTTGAGCCCTTGGGGTTCTGAGCTGATGGACCCCGGGGCTGACCAAACGGAGTACACTATCTGGCGTATTGTGTTTTCGTCCGGGAAGGACGTGCAGTTTGGCAAGCAGGGGTTCCTTGCCTCAGCAGACGACCGCGGGGGACAGCGCTCCTTCTGGCCCATCGACTTCTACACCATTAAGTGGCACAAGGCCGTGGGTAGCTTGGAGCAGATGTTGGAGTTGAGCAGTGAGGTTGAGTCTGACTTGGAGGTGAAGGAAAACGAGAGCGGCCTGCAAGTAGAGATAGCTTTTGATGCTCATGCCGAGGCGCGATATTTGGACAACCTGCGCCGGATTTGCACTCACCGGATGGACCACTTCGTCAAGCTTCGATTCCCCGGTGCTCGCAGAGATTCGGCTGCAACGCTCCACCGTCGTACGAACGTCCGCAGCTTCATATTCTCTCCACGTGGCCAGTGTCTCCGAGCCGCGATCGGCAATGGACTATGCGCGCTGGCTGGAGAAGTGGCTGCACTAGCCATGATGAATATCCATCCGATGTCAGCCGTGAGCGTCGCCCAAGCTGGTGCCTGGCTCGAACAGCGGTTGGGCTCTTACCGCCTGGAAACGGTTTCAATTCCGAACCGTGTCGACGAAGAAGAGTGGTTGGCTTCCCAACGTTATGGGATCTTCTTGTCCAGATTAAAGGGAATGGACAGTTCAGGAGAAGAAATCGACCATGTCGTCGTTCTGGATGCCAAAAGGCAGCTCGTGTATGATTGCACAGAGCGTTTTGCACTACAGATTGTAGTATAATCACCCCCAACGACGAGGGGGGTGAGTACTGACAGTTCCGAAAGACCCCGATCGACGGGAAGAGAGAAGCACGGCCCACCCACGGTACCGAGCACGGGCTCGAGGTAGCGGTGGTAGAGCGGGATCGGGGAGGACGGGCGCACGCGCGAGCGGTTCTACGCCTCGACGCCCCGGAGCGGTACTGGGTGACGATCCAGTACCGACGGGCGGAGCCGGAGCCGGCTCGTGGGCGTGCTGCGCGCGTCCTCAACCCGCGCGCGGAGCGACTACTAGGTAAAACGGACGGAAGTACCTAAAAGTAAGCGGGCGGACCAAGGAGAAGGATCCTTGACAAGTCCGTGCTTGTCGTCCTCCACCGCCGGCGGTCTGCTCATATTTAGTGTACAGAGTCACCTATCATAACATTACATTAGTGCAGGTCGGCCTGCACTGTAGTGCTGTCAGCCGTCGGGGGTGGCAGCACACGTGTCGTACACGTGTGCGCGCGCATTGAGGTACTGTAGAGCTCGGGCTCTACAGTTATAAATCTAATCTAAATCTAATTTATGGAGGGGGATATG